GGGACTCGTCAGCTGGAGTGTACCTGAATTCCGGAAGTCGTACCTAGTACCATTCGCTTCAGAAACCATTGCGTCCCGATTGTTACTTGCTTTTGCAATGGGGTGAAGTATAAATTCATTTGGCATTGTTTGTTTGTGTCTCAGAGGGAACAACGACTCAGGGATGCAAGTACATTCAGCTGACGAGTCCCAAATAGGACAAAACATGTGTCCTGGATTTCACTGCTAGCCACTATCCATTTTTGCTTATAATGCTTGTGTTTTAAGGCGATCCGCACAGGATGCACATATGCCAATAAGAGACTGATCAATTGCATTCCTAAACATCAATAGAAAGATCCAAACAAACAATACCAAATGAATTAAAACATGATGGTTTGCATTCCGTTAGTTCTCCAGAGTAACATTGGATAATCAGTTTCTCCGTCAGTGGGTTAAATAGTATTTTGTGTTGTTTAAACCATACCTCTAACATAATCTTAACTTTTCTACATCATGTAATTAAAAACAGTAAATCTTATTTAATAATAATTTAAAAAAGAGACTACTGAAAACAGATACAAATTTCATAAGATGTCAATTCCTTCATAATTAGTTGTTCAACATGACTAAACATAAGAATCACGCAAATGAGCTTCTAGAGCAAAGATTATGTTCAAATATGTTATTTTGTAACATTTAAGAAATTCCTGTACAGATTATATACACTTTATTGAATATTATGATTGCATTCCATAACGAAACATCTTTATACTTATTTTGCTGTCACGTAAGTATTAAAGCTTTATTTACCATCAAAGTAACTGGAAAATAACACATGTATTTCAATATCCTCTTATTAAAATCATACTGTAGTTTATTCCGAAATTTGAACCTATTAGTACAAGTAATTCATAAAAATAACTCTGGTGTTTACTTAACTGTCTTTTCACTTTAGTAATTAACTATTCGATGACAAAAATTGTATTGCTTTTGAACCTACTTGAATGATATTACCTTTGTGTAATAAGTTTTGAGAACACTTGAGCACAAACCTTTTAACAGAGAAATCTGATGAAATTTATTTTTATCAAAAGGGGTTTTGTGGATGCCGGATCAGTGGTCTAATGATAGGTCCTGGGTTCGAATCTCGCCCAGGGTGGGTTCGTGGATGTGCGCTACTGAGGAGTCCCATACTAGGACGAAACAGCCGTCCAGTGCTTTCAGGTATTACATGATGGTCTAACTTTAATTGATTCATGATTTCAACTATTGAAATTCTTGTCAATTATTTTGATATAAAATCGATAAGGTATTAGGTTATTACACACTTTAAACCAAACTTTCTGTTCCCATATACTGTTAGATGAAGCGATATAAATCAGCCTTTTTTTCAATAAAATTAATTAATCTTGTTTCGAAGCTTCTTATAAGTTTCTAACAACTGAACACTATATAAATCAAATGGATAATATCTAAGTAAACTATATTATGTTTACTGACGAGAAAATAAACTGTTAACTGTTGTTTCGGAAAAATAAACAATTAAGACAAATTCACATCTATATACAACAACATAAAAAGTAGATAGGATTTATGATAGAAGTAAGAGATTATAGTACAGATATCAATCTCTGAAAGAGAAGAAACTATTAGATAAACAACTGAAATGAATGAAATAAGTGAAAACTAACACTAATATTAAAGAGTGAATTTGTTAAAATAATAAAATGAAAAGATGACGTCATGGCAGTCACCCTATCCTAATATAAACAAAAAAAATTTTTTCTTATACTTGTAGACAGTGACAGACTTTTGTTACGTAACTAGAACTTTCAATCCAAATCCATCACTACATTGTATTGTTCATAGTGAACTAAATACAAATAGGGGTATTAATACATTTATCAAATCATTCTTAACTGTTTTAGGAGGTAAATGATTATATTCAACATAATACAATTGGCTTTATTCTGAATTGGGCTTATGAAACAAAAAGTTGACAAATCTGAATGGTGTTACATAACCGAAATTGGATCATAACATTAGGATAGTAGCTAAACTTTGTAAAAAGTACGTTGTAGAAGACGTTATAAATGTAAATAAGACATTTGTTAGTATGCTACGTCAGTTAACTCCAAGTCTATATAAAAAAAGAATTTTCAAAAGCGTCCTATTGTTATTAGAAGCAAGTGAATTCAATGAATTCTGTGTATGTCCTTAGGTACTTTCACCGTACTTATACGAATCTAACTGTTTTTAAGAAATCAAATTATCTCTGATTTTAGACCATTGTATTCTTTTTATTAAAATTAGTAAAACAGGAGTGTAAAACTAATGAACTAATGGATTTTACAGTACGACGAATCACATAATTCAATATTTCAGTCACTATTAGTAGTTTGTAATCAATCGATTTTAATGAGTCTTCCAAGTCAATGCAACAACAAAAAGTTTCATATTTTTATTCTACAAATTAAGTAGTATAATAGAGATAAAATAGATTTAATCAAACTAACATTTCTATGTTTATTAGCTTATGTCTTCGACTGAACAACTGTCATTCATTAACATTGAAACATTAAGTAATCATTAACCTAATTGTAAAATTCAGACTTGTGTATTATTTCATGTGCTCAATTAATTCCATATAATTCAAAATATATATTATATTCACTGAATGTCATTATATTAAAGCTCGAAGAAGCATAGATAATCGTAGTGAATATATAATGTTGTTCCAGTATGAAAACATTGACTTAACGTTTTCATCGTCTGAGCCATAGTGTCTCCTTAGGGAAACCATTTAATTTCTGGAAAATAATTTTTGAACTCAACCATAAAATTGCTTAAATTTCCACAAAACCTCCTTCTGATATTAATCATCATATGCTCACTAGGGATATTTCCTGGAGTTCTAGTGAGAAGCAGTGATCAGTGGAGTTCAACCTAGTCTGTTGTGAGATGGTAACTCATAGATGATAATGGTAGATGCGTCGCTCAATTTCATGGATTGGTTGAAGTTAGACATTAACACCGTTGAATAGCGACCGGCTCAGTGGTCTAGTGAATAAGCATTCGCGCGCGAGATCGATAGGTCCTGGGTTTGAGTCTCGAAAGGCGGTATCATGGATGAGTACTGCTGAGGATTCCTACACTGGGACGAAACGGTCGTCCAGTGCTTGCAGGTTTTCCATGGTGGTCTGACTTTAATCGACTCATGAATTCAACTATAAAATAATTTTTATGTTATTGTCTCTAAAATCATGTTATTTATGTCAACGAAGATATTGTTAGAGTATTTGTCAAAAGTGATGTAGAAAAATGTCTATATCTTGAAAATTTAAGAATCTACCTTTGCGATTAATGCTTCATCTGATTGTTATATCTCGTTATGCAATATTGCTTATACCGTATACTGAATTATAACATTACAATATACAAAAATTCTGTGTTTTTATCTGCATTAAGCATAAAGTCTCATAAAATACAATTAACAGAGCAACAAATACAAGTAAGATGTGTAATTCATTTGTAACAATGGAGAAAATAAATTTCTTTTTTATACTTTTTTAATTGAAAATTGGTATGTTTCTAAAATTGTTTTGATCAGTTATTCATTAGTTAAACTATTCGGATCATAATCGATTGATCAGCTGTCTACATCTACATCAATTCCGACAGTTCAGTAGCATCATGAGATTTAAAGCAAATAAGCCCCTTATAACTGAGGGCATAAGAAAATGGACTTATTAAATGAGCTAGTTTATAGAAGAAATCTAAAGTGTATTTGATAACTTAACAGTCATATATGAATATTTCTATGTTCTAGTAATAATGATGTACCAAATTTAATGGATCACATTGGTAGCATAAAGTTTCCAGACTTATGATCAATTATTAGATGATTTCTTGATTGGAATGTTTTGACTATTATGGTATACGAATGAAGACGTAGAAAGCTTTGGAAAAACTGATTTATGGGGGGAAGGTACAAATCATTTTATGATATATTTAACGAGTTTATGAGTAAAAGACTTGGGCTATTGCAGCACTTAGTTTATCCCGACCAACTTTCAGGTGATCCTTAACGAACAGCACATAATCTTATGTACTCAAATATTGTTTCAGGAGTGTGAAATTTTAAATAGCTAGATCCGACAACCATTCATGATTATAGTAATAACGTAATAAAAAATGTCGACTGTATGATGTAACTAATGTAATGGATATCTAAGAATTTTGGTAATATAAAGATCCATTGAGTGTAGATTTGGAAAATCCTCTTCAATTTATAACTGATCCAAGGATTTGTTAAAGATAAGTTGGCTTTAGGGCTGCCATAATTTTTATTTACCAGATTACATACTCCTGTAGATCATGTTCTATTGTTCATACAAAGAGTTCTACAGCACTTCCGAACTCATTTCCGAGCACCAGATATCATGGCTATCAGAAAATGAGTCAAAAGTTACTCATTAAACCCCTGTCTGAGCATCTATTCATTGCTTATCATAGATTTTCACCAGAATCTTCATTTAATTTCACAAATTGTTTGTAAAGGAAGTTGGATGGGAAATTTGTGGATAGCAGATGACTTGATGATCCATCAGTTTAAACCTGATCTGTATGCAGAAGCGATATATTCAATCTCATACTTTATCATTGCTGTAATTCCCCCCCATTCTTAATTTGTAGGTTGTCTTTGACAAATGTCCATCTCTTGTTTGTCTTTTCTGTATTCATTCAAGTGGATATTTATCTTTCTCATTCCTCTTTGTGTTGTCTTAATCTTATTGCCCTTTGATTATTATGCAATTATATTCGATAGATCAAATGTCTGATTAACTTTTAATATGTTTAGACAATTCTGAATAAAATGTCAATGATAGTAAAAGAGACCATCATGAAAATTTTCTTTGTTAACCTGTATTTCATTCCACACAAATTAAAATATATACCTTCCTATTGATTTTATTAAAATGATTCATGAATTACATGTATAACACAATAAAACATACCTAATAGTCCAGGTAAATGTAAAAGCTCCATTATCTCACCAAACATAAAACCAAAACCATAGAAAATAAGTATACTTAATGCTTCACCATGACGACATTCAAGTGCTTTTTCAAATTGATTCCCTGAGAATTGATTATCATTCATAGAATTATTTGTTAATTGATCTATTCTTTTTATGATAGAAATAAATCGACATTGTGGTGGTAATGCAATACTTGGTTTAATTGATATAATACATGCATATATAGCTAATAAAAATAATCCATATGTAAATATACTACTTAAATGTGTATAAATCCATAATAATAATTTAGATAACCATATAGGTAATTTTATATGTTTTAAACATAATTTACAATGATTATGAAATTTTTTTTGATATTTTTTTAATTGACTAATTTTTTTATTTGTATGAATTTGTTGAAATTCTAAATTATTATTATTATTATTGTCAATATCTTGATTGAAATTTTTTTCATAATTCATTTTAGATAAATCAATATTTATTGATTTTCAATAATTTCATCAATTTATTGATTATAATCAATTATTCATATAGAATCATGATTTATATTGATTGTTTAATGTGAGTAATTGGATTGAGTAGATGATGATTGAAATAAATATTGATTATTTATAATTGAATTATCAAGTGAATTATTGATTTCATTAATTGTATCAAAACTTTCACGATCAATCAATAAGGATACTATTTTCAAAAATAAAATAATAAAAAAAAGAATTGAAAACTTTAATCAATATGAAGATGAATAGAAAAGAGGTTTGAAATGTTAAGATAATAATTGAAGTAAACTTTATAGGGAACATTATCATATATCAAATTCTGGTCTCTTTTTTTCCATTAACAGTTACTATACTAATATTATGCTTTACTAGTGTCTATTATGGTTCACTTATTTCTCCGTTATTTAGTATAATTAACTTATGATTATTAATAGACTGCTAGGTTTGAAACTATCACGAGTTCACTTAATCTGTGAACGAGAACAAGACTCGGTGAGTCCCAGCCCCGCTAACTAGAGGGAGACGTTCAAGCTTGGAATGGGGAAGTATATTTTGCAAAACAGTCAGAAACGAGCGATCACAACAAACACTATTCAAAACGTATATATAAAGTGCAGAACCGTCCTTGGGGAGAGTTACCAAATAGTATATTAAAAGACGCAACGGACCAATAGCATTTAAGGTATTTCCCAGTGGGAAATAGGACATGAAGGTGACAAAAGCGCCTCTGGCGCCAAAACAAAGAAATTCAAATTTTCTAAATAAAATTACAAAATTAGGTTCTTTCCCAAATGAGTTCTGGGGATCTAACGTCCCCAACATTGACCAATTATTATAAGGAAATATTTAAAATGAAATGTATCATCCATATAAAAGAAAGAATATATTTGAATGAATTTGAAGTGAATACAGTCTTTTGTTTGATAATTTGGTTTAAACATTTTCAAGAAAGTTTAATCAAACATCAAAATGGTCGAATACAAAAATGTACAGGAACTCCTATGATGGATTAAACTACAAAATTGTGCATGGATGACAGTTGACAAACTCGTACGAAGTAAAGACCGGTGTCAGGCAAGGTTGCTTACTCTCATCCTTTCCCTTTCTCCTAGTGATCGAATGGATCATGAAGACGCCAACATCTGAAGAGAAGCACGGGGTACAGTGGATATCTAGAATGCAGCTGGACGATCTAGACTTCACAGATGATCTGGCTCTTCTATCGCAAATGCAACAACAAATGCAGGAGAAGATGACCAGTGTAGCAGCAGATTCAACAGCAGTAGGTCTCAATATGCACAAAGGGAAAAGCAAGATTCTCCGATTCAACACAGCATGCACCAATCGAATCACAATTGAAGGAGAAAATTTGGAAGATGTAAAAACCTTTACATATTTGGGAAGCATCATTGAGGAACACGCCGAATCTGATGCAGATTTGAAGGCGCGGATCGGAAAGGCAAGAGCAACATATTTACAACTGAAGAACATCTCGAACACAAAACAACTGTCAACCAAAATTAGAGTCACAATTTTCAAAACAAATGTGAAGGCAGTTCTACTGTACGAGGCGGTAACTTTGAGAACTACGAAAACCATCATCCAGAAGATATAAGTGTTTATTAACAGTTGTCTATGGTAAAATACTTCGGATCCGTTGGCCAGACACTATCAGCAACAACCTATTATGGGAGAGAACAAACCAGATTAAAGAGGACGAAGAAATCAGGAAAAAGCGCTGGAAGTGGGTAGCACACATATTGAGGAAAGTACCCAACTGCAAGTCCTTATATGGAATCCTGAAGGTCAAAGGAGGAGAGGAAGACCAAAGAACACATTACGCTGTGAAATGGAGACAGACATGAGAAGGATGAAAACAAATTGGATAGAACTGGGAAGGAGTTCCCATGTCAGAGTGGGTTGGAGAATGCTGGAAGTAACAGGCGTAATAAGTAAGTACATGGTTCTGTGGCTCATTGTATACTAAATAGATCATCCAATCAATCAATATTCAATCATTTTGATGTTTGATTAAAATTTTGTTGAAAAGGTTTAGATTAGATTGTCAGGTGAAACGTTGGATTTATTTCAAATTCAAATTCGCTGAAATTTTACTAATACGTTCGTTCTCTTTAATGTCTCATATCAACTTGGCGCCCAAATACTATGAAAATATTCGATGAAATTTAGAGGCAAGTTCTTCGATATCATCCACATATTTTACTTGTATATATTCACACAAATCAGAATTAAATCCATTTTTTATTTTTTATATTTTTGTTTTTTAAGATTTCAGTCACTTGAAATCGAGGAACAATATCATTAGGATTCTCAGTGACAGTTTTAGTTGCATATATAGTTAATCTGTGTATTCAGTGGACTACAAATAATAATGGAATTTATAAATAAAAGTTTACATTGGTAATTATATCATCCCAGGTATGCCGGCTCAGTGGTCTAAAGGTTATGCGTTCGTGAGCGAGACCATTAGGTTCTGGGTTTGAATCTTGCGAGGCAGGATCATGGATGTACATCGATGAGGAGACACCATACTAAGACGAAACGGTCGTCCGGTGCTTCCAGGTTTTCCATAGTTGTCTGGCTTTCATTGCTCCATGAATTTAACTAATAAATAAATAAATCCCAATTTTCGAAAATCTTATATCAAGATCTTTGTCCTCGTATCTCCTTTCAATTGATTGCTCATAGAAATAACCTTTTTTAGCAATTTAAACAGTCATTCACGTTACTATTTCGACCTAAATCATCTATCAACGAACCTATGCAATTAGTCATCAGTGATAAATGTCTGTTGCAGCTTATTGAGTTCATTTTTAACTATATCATCAACAAATATTCTCCTAGCTCTTGATGACTGAGAGTGAATAAAGTTTTTCTTTAATTTAAATATGACTAAACTTTAGAAATTCGTGTACTGATCATTCCAGGATGACTTTCTGTACATCAATACTTGGAGTAATAAACCTTTCATTGTTTTAACAGGATAGCCGAAAAATAGAACTTGAAGTTTAACGCTGAATCTACGAATTTTACGAATTTGATTGATCGATGGCAGCTATTGAGTTCTTTCAGGATGCCGTTGAGTTGGATACTTCTGTGGAAAATTGTGAAGTATTATCTAGATCCTGACATTGTTGAGATTTTTTATCATTATTTACGATCGACTTTTTATGTCTTTACTGAACATTAATTGTTATTTAGTTAAAACCTGAATAACTTAGACTTATGTTCAATCACATCTTGGAAAATCAGTCTGAACCATTAGTTTTCTATAACAAGTTAAGAATACATACGTTTACTGAGGGTTAACACATGAATTTTTCCATTATTCTTATTGGAAAATATTTTTAGTGTCTGTAAATATATGAGACAGAGCATCATTTTTATACGACAATGCTCCATAAAAATAAAGAATGAATGAGGTTGCATTATATCAACTCGTGATCAGGTGTACAACAGTATCTTATAGGGACTATAACTGGATGTGTCATAAAAATAGATATTTGCTTCCTAATAAATCAAATCACCAGTAATCAGTTTATATAAAACTTGAATGAGCAATTTAAAAGAAACTGGGAAACAAGAATGAAAGAAACTGCGACTATATGGTCAAAGGTAGTAAGTGTAATAGTGAATATGAAGGAGAAATATCCAAGTAATTAAATATGAAAAATAAGGGAACACAAACGATATTTGGAATAAATTTCTGAATCGTTTACAGATTTAAAAACGTTTCAGAATAGATCAGTAATTACATACTGCTGTTTAGAACCGGAAAATTAATGGAGACAAAGATTTTACTTCTTAAAAAGAACAAATAACTACTGAAATCCTAGACATATGCGATGAATATAAACAATGTAAATAGAATAAATGAAATACAGATAGCTATGTCATGGCAATGGTTGATTAATTAATGAAAACTCTATCGACCATAACATGACTCCAACAATAACAGATCTTTTAGTCAGTTATTTTACTCTCAGTTTAACATGACCATTATCAATAAATACATACTTCAATGGATTTCATATGTACTCTTATATACTCACATGTACTTTTAGTATTATCATAAACAAAACGGTCACTTCACTTGTAAACTTAGGATGAGGCTTCATTTGTTCACTTAACTATCATAAGCACACTCACTCATGTATATCATATGTTAAACGAAGTTCAGATAAGGTGACTCATATTCTTAATATTTATACAAATTCAGGATTTGAACAAGGTTAAACAAGTGTTCGTATAGAATTGTTTTAAAATTGTATTTGCCTTTGATAATCTTGATTTTCATTATTTCTTAGGAGAAATTTGAATAGATAAGCCAAGAGAAAAATTTCAAATAATTTCAATTTCAATCTCTGGGATTATTTCAAATACAGCGGCCTGCTTGAGCATCTAGGCTACCTGTTCCTGCCATCTAGATATTTCAAAAAGTTATAGATTTTTGTTTGTTTTAATATATCATTATGTCTATTTATCGCATAACATATTCTGCTGCGTTTCTGAAAAGTGTACAATCTTTCGTTACCAAAGTTACAAAAAACTCATTAACAGACAATGTGGTTGCTGGCAAAATAACACGGAAAGAATGCACATTATTCAGATGTTCATTCACTGAAGTGCTAACATCTAACTGGCGATCACTCAGTATTTATCGCCAGGACCGACCAAGAAGAAAGAAACGGAAACTTGTTGAAATACTTTGCACTGAGAATTCTATATTGTACCAAAAATATAATATTGAATAAAGCAGATAATAATGATAATACATTTCATATCACTAAGAACCTAATTACAGTAGAAAGATATCTCGTCTAAGTGTTTATAACTTTTGGCAGTGAATATCAATAATCCATGGCATGTTTAGATCTCATTACAAGTCCATCTTCGACACATTAAATTGAGATTCAGTTATCAATACTGTAAAATATTTTTAACTTCCCATTCAAATGTTATAACTAATAATGTCAATAATTGAAATCATGAGTCAACTGAAGCTAGACCACCATGGAAAACCTAGAAGCACTGAACGACCGTTTCGTCCTACTGTGGAACTCCTCAGCAGTGCACATCCACGATGTGTTTTGCTATACTTTAGTCTAGAAAAAGTAAAAACAAACAGACTGTTTTCTGTTCTGACTGTAGTTTTTTGTGTTG